TCCTTCAACATCACAAGTTAAAGGCATCAATTATTCTTCTGTCATCCTTATTCACTGTCTGGCTCTCAGACACATAGCGATTGACTGCAAAGACCATCGCCCAAATCAGGTGCATCTTAGTCTTCAAATTTGATATCGTTGCTCCTCAGTAATTTGGAGAGATCCCTGACTGCAGAGCTGCCCGAGGCAACACATCTCCTGATCTCCTGACTGCTGGGACCAAGGGCGTTGACTGTGGGTCCCAAGTAAGATGAAATTGATGACTATTTCAACTTTTTTGCCCTCCGTCTATCACACTTATTGGTCTGGTGGTGAGGATTTTTGTCTTTTTGGTGCTCAGATGTAATCCATTTTGAAGGCTATAGTCTTTGAGTATATGCAGGCTCACTCAAAAATATGTAGAGTGAGCCAGTCTCAAGTTATTTCTGATCCTTTTACTGACTTCTTGCATCTCACCATACGCATTTTCCTTCTCTGACCCTCATATTCTTACCCTTGTTATCTCTGGTTTTAATCATTCTGGAGACACTAAAAACTCAGTTTGCTATTGTTTGAGACTAACTTATTGCGGCTCAGTCAATTAACACTCATGGAGGAGACCTTACAGGACAGAGTAGGATGTCCTTTTTGGGTTCCAAGGCTATAAATCTTTGTAGGAGTCAATTGACAAATCTCTCTCCATTGTCTCAGGAGAGGCTATTCCTTGGAGAGTGACGTCATGCTTGGAAAGATGGAGGGACAGTGAAAGAGAAAATCCTTCAGCCAGGTGGATTGATACAATGGGTTTGAGTGGGTCAGCTGAGATTGTGAGGCTCACACAGTGTACGATAGGGTTCAGATCTGTGGTTCATAAGGTCATTATGAGTCATACTCGACTTTCAGTACCTAAAAACAATAACAACACCCTCTCGTGGTACTGACTCTCTGATACCATGCATGCCCTAAGATAATGAACAACTCTGTTGTCTCACTTCAGTCCTTCAGCAGAGGTAGAATCAGGCTGAGGTAACTTGAGTCTTAGGTCACCACCGCTCCATTCCCTTCTAAAGTTTCCAGTCTATTTCCAGTGTAGATTTTGCAAGTTTTGACTGATGATAAAACTTTTTTTAACTTGAGATTATATAGTACGTATTCTGTATAAAAATATGCTACCAGCAGACAATTTAAAGAAATGTATGCCAGGGAGCTCTGGTGGCCTAGTGGCAAGAAACTGCACTGTAATCCCAGAGGCGCTCAGTTCAAATGCACCAGATGCTCTGCTGGAGAGGGTGTGACAATCTCTTCCCGTACCAGTCAGATCTGATTTGACGGTACACACACAAAAACTAATAAAATAAAATTTTTAAAAAGTATGCCCATCAGGTTAATTCTAGTTCATAGCAACCCTGTAGGGCAGGGGAATTTCTCACCTGGTTTCTTAGGCAATAATTCCTCTAGATGCAGATTGTCACATCTTTTTTTTTTCCATGAAACAACTGGTGGGTTCAAACCACTGACGTTTTTGGTAGCAGCTGGACACTTTCACCACTGTGCCAGCAGGTCTCATCATATCATCGTACCTCACCACTGCCATCAAGTTGAGTCTGGCTCAGTGACCTTCCAGGGTCTTTCCTAGGTTGTAAATATGAACCTGGAGAGAGGATGAGAGACCCCCAAGTCCTTCATAGGGTCGCTATGAGTCGCAGACGACTGAACAGCGCTTAACAACAACAACAAAACCAAAAAAGGAAATGAAAACAAGTCCACAATGTACTAAAATAGCCCAGAATAAGAGGTACATTGCAAAAAGGACTGGGGAGGGTGAGGGACTTTTTTTTTTTAAGTATTAGAATTCATAGATTTCTTTGTCATTTATGTCAATAATTTCCAACAGGAGACTAAAACAGAAGAACTCCCTAAATGCTGATGTTTTCCCTTCACAACCCCCAGGGAAGCTTTTATCTTGCAACATTATCAATTAAGCGTTAATATTATGTTCTTCTTGCATTCTGTGTGTGCATTGATGCAGCCTCAGTGCTCATGGAACTCGTGCTGTTTAGAAAGTTCATGTCCTGGCCACTTAATTACTCAGTACAATGATTTACTTATTCATTTCATTGAGAGCAATGAATGGTTTTGCTGACAATCATTTTTACAGCTATAATTTGGCATCCCTCATTAGTATTTGTCTTTGTTACTGTTTGACATCATTGACTTGGCTCCATGTGCAGCGTCCCTACACACGATGGAATCAAACACCACCAGCTCGGTCTCGCCCTCACAGTTAACCCTGTCCTTAAGCTCCCTGCTTCACACTTCATTATATTTTCATATTCATTGTGCACTATAGAAATTGGACCCAAAACCCAAGAGGATTATGAAGCAGTAAAGTGGTTTCTACATACACAAAGCAAGATAGGTTCTATCCCTTAAATCTCTTTCCTCGTCAACACATCCCACCACTGGACCAATTGGCAGCATCAGGATGGATGGTGAGAAGATTGAGATTGCTCACAGCTTTAGTCGGCTTGGCTCCACAATCAACACTCTAGGCACCAGCTGCCAGGAAATGAAAAGATGTATTGTGATGGGAAAGTCTGCTGTTAGGGACCTCTCTAAATTACTCAAGAGCAACGGTGTGTCTCTGGAGAGTAAGGTGCGTCTGGTATAGGCCATGGTCTTTGCAATCACTTGTTATGTGTCAGAGAGCTGGACAATGACCAGGGAGGATAGAAGGAGAATTGATGCTTTTGAGCTTGGTGTTGGAGAAGAGTGCTGAGGGTGCCATGGACTGCTAAGAAAACAAACAGATTCAATCTGGAGAGGGTTAAACTGGGCTGCTCCTTGGAGGCAAGGATTCTGAGGCTTCGTCTGACATACTTTGGTCCTGTTGTAAGGAGAGACCGGTCTTTGGAGAAAGACATCATGCTTGGGAGAGTGGAGGGCAGGCGCAGGAGGGGAAGGCCCTCTGGGAGATGGATTGATTCGGTGACTGGGGCAATCAGGATGAGTGTGTCAGAGACAGTGAGATTGGCACAGGACAGAGCAGAGTTTAGAGCTGTTGTACATAGGGTCGCTATGAGTCACAAACTCAAAGCACATAACAACAACAACAACAACAGTCAACACATCATCAAACAGCAGGGAGTCTATGATCATTCATTTTCCCCTCCTGTAAACAATTTGTTCCACTTCACCTAAGAAGACATTCAGATGGCCAACAAGCACATGAAGAAATGTTCAAAATCCCTAGCTCTGAGATGCAAATCAAGACAACTATGAAATATCATCTCATCCCAGTAAGAATAGCAAAATTTAACAGAACAGCAAATAGCAAATGCCGGTGAGGTTGCGGAGAAACTGGAACCCTTATTCACCATTGGTGGGAGTGTAAAAATGGTACAACCACTATGGAAGTCAGTGTGGCACTTTCTCAGAAAGTTGCAAATAGAAATACTGTTTGACCCAGCAGTTCCACTACTGGGAATATACCCCACAGAGACCATAACTGATATTCAAGCAGATATATGCACACCTATTTTTATTGCAGCTTTGTTTACAATAGCAAAGATCTCAAAACAACTCAAGTGCCCATCAACAAAGGAATGGATAGAGAAGCTCTGGTATAGTCACACAATGAAATACTACGCTGCATTGAAAAACAAGGAACTCATGCAATATTATTCAAAATGAGTGACCCTGGAAGACACCATGCCAAGTGAAATATCTCTGTCACAAAAGGACAAATATTGCTTAAGGCCACTGTTGTAAAACGGGACTGACATCAGGGTTGAGGGAAGGCAGAGAAGGAGAGTAATGATGTATACTGCATTGAAACAGATGAGGGAGAGAACGGTTTAAAAGGGGTATGTGAATAGGTATTATTGTCATGACAGGAGTCCAGAACAAAGGCTGCACAGTGCAGTGGACTTGGGGGGAGGGATTGCATAACAATGAAAGAATTTTTTTTTCTCTTACTTTTCAAAGGAAGAGCAAATTGAGGGTGGGGGGAGGAGTTGGGCAGGGAGAAAAGTGCAACAATAAATGAATGGAAGCCTTAAGTCTCTGTAAACTTTCATTAAAATTAATAAAAAAACAATTTTTCAATGAACAGAAAAAACAAAGCAAAACAAACCCAATTTGCTCATCCATGCTATCCGCAACGGGAAGATGCCCTGTAAGCATGAAAAAATGCCATCACAGCATCATTCTCTCCGATGTAGCATCGACAGGGGAAGAGTTGGAAGCGTTTAATATGCACGGCCTCCTTTGACTCTGATTGACAAACCTTTAAATTCCAATAGCTCTTGGAATTTCTTCTGAAATTCTCCAAGTTGGCTTAAAATAGAGAAACTCTATACTCTACAATGTTCAATGCCAGAGAAACAAAACAGAAGAGAGAGAAGCAGGCAGGGAGGAGACAGAGAACAAACTGTCAAACCACATACATATGAGAGTTCCCCTAATGTTTAAAATGCCTATTTTTCCTTCCTTGAGGAATTTGGTTTGTTCTATCACCCTTGTATTTAAAAGTCGGCTGCGCTCGCTCGAAGGCCTAGTGTTATTTCATTTTGGAGGAACATTCTTCTAAGTGGTACAGCACTCCTCTGTCAATTTGCTGCACTGAGGTAATCTGGGTTTGCTGTAATAGTGAACCTTGTGCCATTGGAAGGTCAAATGCCATAAACGGCTGCCCATGCTAGACAGTGTTTGGTGGAGCTCTCAATTTAGGACACGTTTGGAAGCAAGAGTGGCATCTACTTCCTAAATGACATGCCTCTGGAAACTCTATGAACTTGGAGAAACGATGATAGTTATAGAAAATCTCCAGGCCTTTTGTTCATAGTGTCACTATAAGTCATGCTTGACTTGATGGCAATCAACAACAACAACAACAACAACATCACCTTTCATAGAACTAAATGCACTTAGGTAAACATTAAAGGTTACTGGCAGAAAATGTAAACAATATGCCCTAGACTCATACTAACTTCAGCTCTGACATTTTAGAAGGACTTTTCTCACCACATCTGCTGCTGCCCTTCAGGGTCCATCCCCGTGGTCGGCTCGTCCAGCAGCATCACCGCCGGGCCCCCCAGGATGCTCAGCAGAAGCATACCTGGAAGGAGAGGGGCAGCATCAGGACCCGTCTGAGCCACATTCGGGGTCACCCTGAGCCCCGCACGCACCTTCCTCTTTAAACCCTCCGATAAGGTCTTCTCAGGCATCTTTAGCTGGTTCCGCAGCTTGAACGCATCCACCAATCTGACAAAAAAATATTGCAGTGATTACGTATCAGAAAGGCAAATGCATCTACCTAAAACCTAGCACTTAGGATCCCTGTCATTTTCACAAATATAAGATCTTGCCATGTGGTTCTTACTCAGATTTTCAAAGTTATCTGGTTATGAGAAAATCTGACAACAGTGCTTATGAGCTCTGTTCCATATTGAATGAGGAAGTATATATTCTTCCCCTCCTCTGGGTACAATGTGTACGTGAGAATTCGCTCTGTACTGTGAGATACTCAGTGTTCTCCTTGGCTAGGCCTTTCACAGCGGCATACAACTCCAAATGTTCTTCTATCGTAAGGCTGGGCCACAGGGCATTCTCCTGAGGGTAGTATCCCAGAAACCTGAGGTCATTTTCACCTTGTGGCCTCCCCAACGCTCTCCTGCCAGGTAAAACCACCTACACAAAACATTTCAACGTCAGGTTCATAGGTGACTTTTGCTCCCATCCTTTCCCTGCTAAAGAAGAAAAACGTGGCCCTCAAGGGGTATGTTTTTAAGCATGTAAGAGATATTTTTTTTTTATTTAGTTGGTTTCTTTTTCATTTCAATGAACATCTACAGAGATTTTGGAATTCCATTCATTCATTGTTGCACCCTTCTCCCCGCACAAACTGCTCCCCCCTCCCTCCCCCCCCCCCGTTTGCTCATCTCCTTGAAAAGCAAAAGAAAAACTCCCTCATTGGTACACAATCCCCCCGCACCTCCCCAAACCCCACCCCCTACCCCCAAATATAATCCACTCTGCAACCCTCATTGCATACTCCTACGATAAAAATAATGCCCTAAAATATAATACTTTTAGACTATTCGTAAGAGATACTTTATACATCCATTCATCTAGTTATTCATTTGAATAATTAATTGCCTCATGGTAATAAGCTGGGCAAAGGCATGCGGTTCGAATCCACCCACTGCTGCACAAGAGAAGGATGGGCAATCTCCTCCTGTTTGATTAATGGCCTCTGAAAACCCACCAGAGGCTCAGCTATGGGTCGGTTCTGACTCAGCCACACACAGTACATAAGGACACCACCCGCATTCAAAACGCGTTTTCTCCTGGGAATGATCTATTCCTTCTGTGTGTCACCTACCGTCCCTGCTGTTGGCTTTTTTATCCCGGTTAACATTTTAATACATTTGCTTTTTCCCGGCTCCACTGTGTCCCAACAGTCCCAGGACTTCACCTAGAAGAAAGGCTTTCTGTAAGTCCACACAATGTCAAGGCTGACTAACTGAAACTCGCTCCATTCCAGAATATTTCAAAACAAATACTTAAGTTGCTTAACACCCTCATCATCATCCACATTACCAAGGCCAATGGATGGATTTGGAGTTGAAAGCAGAACAAATCGGTCTTTCTCAGTCAAGATCAAGTTGTTTCTTATTTGTTGCAGAGGTGACATGAGTTTGGAAGAGAAAATGCTTCTATGTTAACATGTCAAATGTGTTCCTGATGACATGTTGACCAAGCGAGCAAGCAGTCTCAGAAAGGAAGCATGGTTGCCTTATAGTCCTAAGCTTAAACAATAAGGAATATCTTGTTGTTGTTGTTTGTTGTTATGTGCCGTCAAGTCGTTTGCGACTCATAGTGACCCTATGTACAACAGCCCTAAACCCTGCTCTAGCCTGTGCCAATCGCATTGCCTCTGACACACCCATCCCGATTACCCCAGTCACTGAATCAATCCACCTCATAGAGGGTCTTCCCCTCCTGCGCTGTCCCTCCACTCTACCCAGCATGATGTCCCTCTCCAAAGACCTGTCTCTCCTTGCAACATGTCCAAAGTATGTCAGATGAAGCCCCAGAATCTTTGCCTCCAAGGAGTAGCCTGGTTTAACCCTCTAGCAAAACAAAAATGGCAAACCTTTTTTAACACAGAAGGAAACATTTCTAATAGCTGTGTTCTTTTAACTTGTTCAAAAGCAATTTTTCTTTCTTTCTTTATAATCTTTCTATAAGCAGCTTGCTATGATGATGGGTTTCTAAAAAACATGACAGAATAGTTGTTTTGTTAAATTTCAGATATTCTATATGCCCATGTTTAGGTACCAAGTTATGTGTGTAAATGAAATCTACTTTCTTGACTAATAAAATTAATTACTAATTGAATATCCCTTTTCCATTATTGTTGTTGATTGTCATCGAGTTGAGTACGACTCATAGCAACTCTATGAACAAAATGCCTGAAGTCTTTCTATAACTATCATCATTTATCAAAGTTCATAGAGTTTCTAGTCATGTTGTTTAGGAAGTGGATGCCACTCCTACTTCCATTTTATATGGAGCATTAAGAAACCTCTTTATAATTAATTTCATCATTAATTCATTTCTTACTATCATACAATATTAACTTATGCATTTTCATCTGCACGCATAATTACTTATTTTACAACTCCTACAAGTTGCAAAACGAAATGGCAACTATTGCAAAAGATACAGACTTTCGTGAGAATGAACTGAAAAACACTGACAACAGAGAATCTGAAAGATGAAATCACACCAAAACAATTGAGGAGAAAATTCACAGGAAGAGTGGCAAGGCAGCTGTTCTGTAAGAAAATTACTTCAATATAGTGTAGAAGTAGAACAATTACAGAAACAAAAGAAACGGTCAGAGGAAAATAAGTATTTCACTGAAGCTATAGGTCAGGCTGACAAAACAGCTCGAGCATTTCATTGAGAGTCTAACTAATCACAGGCCTTCACCTCCTCCAAGTTGAGAGTAGAGAATGCATTTGCCGTGCCCACTCGTTCAGCCTGGACATCTTCATCCTCTTCTTCCGGCTCTGCTGGATTCGGATGGACGTCCCTACTTCTTGGAGAGATTCCACAGACAAAATAACATTTTAAAAACCTAGAGGTGCAGCTGCCAAGAAAGTGTCTCTGTATTTAAATTGTTATCCTTTGCTTTAAAGACAATGTAAAAGGATGAATTAATTACAATTTTTTCAGAATCATTGATTACAATTTAGCTAGAATAATTCCCAAATCAACAAGCTTTTCTTTCCAAAAAAAGAAATAATTCTTTAGCAAGCAAGTCTCTTAAAATTCTCTTTGATAATTTTTTTTCCCCTTTAAAGCCTCTTAAGCAATCTGTTTACTCTCAGGGGGGCGGTGTGTGTGTGTGTGTTTATTATAAAGCCCTTCAGGTATAATCTTCTACTCTCTGGGGTATTTCTTTATTTTAAAGCCCTTCAGATACAGTCTTCTCTCTCTCTGTTTTGCATAACGCAGATTATTACTGGATCTTCCACCAATCCTGATGCTACAATTCTCCTCATAGAGCCCAGCCTCCTGGATAATCTGCTCTGCATATAGGTTGAAAAGGTATGGAGACAGGACACATCCCTGGCGTACACCCTTCCCAATTTCGAACCAACTCATAGTGACCCTTTAAAGAACAGATTAAAACCTTGTCCTATCCTGGGCCAGCCACTGTTGTTATCACTATGCCAGTGCATCTCCTTGAGGGTCTTCCTCTCCTTAGCTGGACCTCCACTTTATTATCTGTTATTAATATGTCCATTAGAATTTGTTAACTCTCTAAGAAGGAGCACATTTTAATAGGGAACAGCATGTAGGAGCGAACACAGAATTGTTGTTTTTGTTCTCGTTAGGTGTCGTCAAGCTGACTACAACTCACGGTGGCCCTGTGAACAGATGTGAATCTTGCCCTGTCCTGTGCCATCCTCATCCTCTCTGACACACAATCCAATGCTGCTGCCACTGTGTCAATCCATAGAGTAGTCGCTTACAACTTGACCGCGCTGAACGACATAGAGAGAGACCAGTTGGCCTAGTGGACTGAAAGCGATGCTACCAAGCCAAAGGTGGGTGACTCTAATCTGCGACCCCAAGGCCTGTTTTAAATTGTTGTTGGTCAAACATTCTTGTAGGTCGTATAGCCCTGGTGTGTCCACTTGCCGTCCAGAGGTAACTTGTGGTTGCTTTGATGCTGAACACTGTGACACTGATGTGTCAAATGAAATAATGGTCACCCATGGTGGACAGTGTTTGGTGGCATTTCCTCACTGAAACAAGCTTGGAAGCAGGAGTGGCATCCACTTCCATAAGAGCTTGTCTCCAGAAACTCTATGAACCTGGAGAAAGAATGAAAGTCATGCATGCAAGTGTCCAGGACTCTCGTTCATAGGGTCTCTATGAGTCGCCTGTGACTCAATGGCACTAAACAATAACAACAACATTGTCTTCTGTCAGGTTGGAAGCAACTCATAGCTGACCCTCCAGCAGGTTTTCAGAGCCAGTTAATCGTCCGAGAGGATATTACCCATCCTTCTCCTAAGCGGCTGATGGATTCGAACTGTATGCCTTCAGGACTGCAGCACAGCTTCTTGCTATTATAGGGACAGAATTTTAAGTGATTATCTTTTTTTCAGCTTAACATTTCAGATTAACATTTTTTTCAGCTACAATTAAATTGCAAAGTCTCAGACACATAAATACCATTTACCAATTCTGCAAAGCTCATTTTGTGATTTTTTTAACGACACATTTCTTAAGATACATATAGAAGTTAATTACTCTTAGTGAAAGTGAAAGATTAGTTGTGAAGTACTCTGAGCCTATTTGAAAGTAATTCCTTAAAATATGGAAATGAACACTTCCTCTAGCATAATTTAATTGCATTCTCCTGTGTTTTCAGCCGCATCTCCCTTTTTGTTTAGCCAAGGTCACTACTAAAAGTTCATGAACTATAAAACACTCAATATTTAACTTGGTTTCAACCCCAGGCATGAGTGGTAATACTTATTCTGATGTGGGGAGAAAAATAACTGAAAACTAAAATCATACTGTAACACAGATAATAAATTTTTGTAGTCACTAAATTTAATGACAACAACAAATTTAATGGTCATTTTTTTATGTTCATTTTAGGGATTTAAAATGCCACTGTAGTTCCATAAAGCACTTTCCAGACCTGCCTTCTAAATGTGTCACTCACTCACTCACTCACTCATCGTGTCCCTGGTCAGGACATATACAGGCCTCTGCTCCATGTTTGGACTTTTTCCACTCTGTGATATTTTATATGCTGGTACCTACACGGCCCGCAGAGCCATGGTGGCCCCGTCCATAAAAAGTCACACTGACCGTGACCCAAGAGTTGAGTCACTCTGATGGTTAGAATGCACCAACTGATCCTCTGGAGAAAGAGAAGCAATTTATTCCCCCAACCTTTACAGCGTCAGATATCCTCTGAAGGGTCAGCCGTGAGTTGAAACTAAGAGCAATGCAAGCGAGTGAGCTGTAGAGTCCAGCACCAAAATCTTCAAAAGTTTAATCTGCTTGTGCTACCAAGCATCAGAGATTTGCATCCGATAGCTGGACAATGAGTAAGGATGACCGAAGAAGAATTGATGCCTTTGAGTCGCGGTGCTGGAGAAGAATCTTGAACATCCTCTGGACTATCAAGAGAACAAGCAGATCGGTTTTGGAGAGTGTGAAGTTTCTCCTTGGAGGCTGGGATTTTGAAGCTCTGTCTCATACACTTTGAGCATGTCACCAGGAGGGACCGGTCCTTGGAGAAGGACATCATGCTCGGAAGGGGGACAGGACAGCACAGAAAAGGAAGACCCTGAAGGAGATGGGGATTGACATAGCGACTGTGGCAAAGGGGTCAGGCGTGGCAGAGACGGTGAGGTTGGCTCTGGTTAGGGAAAAGCTCAGAGCCTTTGTTTCAAGGGTCACTATGGGTTAGAGTCAACTCAGTGACAAATATCAAGCATAACAGGCTACCAATGTCTGTCTAGCCACACCTTTCTTTCCATGCATCTCATTTTAACCTTCCTTACTCTACTTTGCTTTTTAACCCTACATCTGTACTTCTACTCTGAACACATAAATGTTCTGAAAACATTTAATTTGTGATTCCTAAAAAAAAAAAATCTGTTTTGGAATTGCAGTGCAGTGTCCCACCAGTCGGCCACCAGAGCTCCCTTCACAGACCACGTTGAAGATACTTTATTCCATCTCTACCAACTTCTCAAAAGAGTAAAGGCTCGATTTTTAAAAAAGATCTCAAACCCACTCACAGAATGCTTCTGCCTTGGATTCCCGGCAGTGCTGTAACCCACGTCCCACAAGGACACCACACTCCCAGCTTAGGAAGCAGTTTTTGCTGTTAGGACCCTTGTGTCGGTTTGAACTCCCAGGGACCCCATGGAGCACAGAACCAAACACCGGCAGGTCCGTTGCCGTCCTTACCAGCATCATTAAGTTGAGACCGTTGTTGCAATTACTTAAATCCGTCTCCTTAACCTCGTTTAATTTCTTTCTTGCTCTTTTTATGGTTCCTGATTGTGCATCCAAATTGACACCACCTTTAATCATTTTCTCCATTCATCATGATGCTGTGTATTGGTCCACTTGTGAGGGATTCCCCCCTCCCCTTTATATTGAGAAGCAATTCATAGTGAAGGCTGTAGTATAGTATCTTCATTGGTAAGTGGTTCAAGTTCTTGGTTTCTATGGAAGCTAGACATCCAACATCAGGACCTGACTGTAGAGGACTCTCTCTCTCTCTCAGCCAGCTCTTAAGGAAAGTCTTGGTTCAGTGTCAGGAGCCCCAGGCTTCCTGGAGTCCTAGGAGATCCACCTCTCCACGCCTGTGCTTGTTCCTCCTTCCAGTTTTTTTCTTGTAATGAGTCAGATATGATCAGGCTTAGAAAACACCCTACACTGATGTGAACTCATTAACACACAGAAAGAAAACGCCATTGTCAAGTGAAGTATGTGCATACATAGAGGGGTTAAGAGTCAGGTACATAGATGGCAGAAATACAATTAAGTCAGTAACTCTCTCCATCCAACCCCATCACCTAATCAGAAATCTACTATTTTTCATTTTGTCATCTTTATATAATCTATTTTCTCCTCCCTGTCCCCTAATTTCTCAGAAATACATCGGCTGTGGAACTGCTGTCATTTCCTATTGCCTTCCTTAAACTATCTTTTTTTTTATTAACAATATTGTTTTAGAAATGACCTACTGACTACCTCACTCTCCCTGTGTGTGTAGTCAGTGCTCTGGCTTTTCGAATGACTAGCCTACAGTCTTCCCTGTCTCCTTTTCCGATGCATTGAAACTAAACCCTAGAAGCTCACTAATGATTTCCAATTATATAATCAACTGCAAAAATTTTCCATAAGTTTTTTAAATTTCTCTGCAACGTCTGACACTTTTGGGACCCCTTGTTAGTCACTCTGTGACATCATTTACTGCTTTCTTCCTGACTTTCCCAATTCTTAAAAATCTCCAAATAATTTGTGTTCACTATGGTTAAAAAAAGAAAAAGATTAATTATATTGGGAAAGTCTGCTGTCAGAGACCTCTCCAGAGTACTGAAGAACAACTATGTCAGTCTGGGGACTAAGGGGCACCTGATCCAGCCCATAGTCTTCACAAAATTACTTGCTATGCATCAGAAAGCTGGACAATGACTAGGGATACTAGAAAGAGATTTGACGCCTTTGAGCTGTGGTGCTGGAGAAGAATATTGAATATACATACCATGGGCTTCCAGGAGAACACCTAGAGAGGATGAAACCAGACTGCTCCTCGGAGGCAAGGATTCTGAAGCTCCATTTGACATACTTTGGACATGTTGCAAGGAGGGACCAGTCCTTGGAGAGGGAGGGGCAGCACGAGAGAGGAAGACCCTCGATGAGATGGCTTGATTCAGTGATTGGGGTAGTGGGGATGGATGTGTCAGAGACAATAATGTTGGTACAGGGTAGAGCAGGGTTCAGAGCTGTTGCATATGAGTAGCTGTGGCCATGAGTCACAGGTGACTCAATAACACATAACAATGACATCAACAACAACATACTAAACAATTACTAACTTATTTGTTGTCATTAAGTCAGAACCAATTCATAGTGGACCTCCAACAGATTTTCAGAAGCTGTAAATTACATGAAAAGAGATTGCCCATACTTCTCCAGAGGAGCAGCTGGTGGGTTTGAACCGGCTGCCTTTGGGATTGCACTGCAGCTTCTTACCACTAGTCATTTACATAGGAAAAAAGAAACAAGAGTTTTCTCCTGGTAGAGTGTCACAAGTGTTACCACTATTCAACAAAAGGAAGATGGGAGGTGAAAATCAGATAGGAGATTGAGGGTATAATTTTATTAACAAAGATGGTACCCCAACACTTATCTGGAGGCCTCATTTTACCTGTCTGCCCATCCGCGATCTGATTACCCTGTAACTGAATTCATGAAGTGTACTTTCAGGATCTTACTGCCTTTGCGTCAGCTCTGAATCATAAAGACACCTCCCAAACTGGCTTTCCAGGGAGTTCTGGTGGTTTAGTGGTAAGGAGTTGTGCTGCAAACCCAAAGGCTAGCTGTTCAAAGCCACAAGCTGCACTTGGGAGAAAGATGAGCACTCTCCTCTACTGTGATTTACAGCTTCTAAAAATCCCCTGCTAAGAGTCAGTTCTGAGTCAGTGGCACACAACAACAACAATGGGTTTCGCAGGCTGTAAATCTCCCCAGGAAGATAGATCCTGGCTATCCTCCTTTTAGCTGGGGGACTCGAAGCCCTGACTTCTTGGTTGACAGTCCAGTCCGCACTGTGCACCAGAAAAGAAAGGATGCCCCGCCTGTCATAATAGAATGCAAAGTTTCAGAATCCAAAACTCCTTAAAAGAACCAATCAAATGGCAGAAGGGACTTACAGCAGACAATTTAAAATGCAGCCTCTCCTCTTGCCCACTATTCAACGCCTGTTTTCCCGGGCCCTCTGGCTCCTCTCGGCTTTCCCCGCCATGATGAATGGCTGGGTCTGCGTCCTGACGCATCTCTGCTTCTTTGCTCTGAGATGCTGCACCTGCGCTGCTGTCCAGGTGGGTGAGCACCTGGTGGGAGAGCGGGCCTCCTGCTCCCGCTTCCCCAGCCTGCGGCTCGCTGCAGCCCCACAGCGCCACCTGGTGGTCAGCTCTCTCCTCCCGCCTGCCTGCCCCAGCTCTAGGCGCAGGCAAGCTTCCACCTGCTTTTCCCACCTGGCTAGACGCGCCAGGGTCACAGATGCTGACTAAAAGGGCGTAGGAAGTGGGCACTTAATTGCAAAGTTAAATTATTTTTCTGAATAAAAAACACCCGCCATGTTTTCACATTTCCAATGTGAACGCTTTCAAAAGTTAGAATTTTTTTTCATTTTTTTTTTCTTTTAAATTGATTTTCATGGAAAGTTTACAGAGACTTTGGATTTCCATTCATTCATTGTTGCACTTTTCTCCCTGACCAAACCGCCCCCTATTCGCTTTTCTTTTTGAAAAGTAAAAGGAAAAATTATTTCATTGTTATTCAACCCCTTTTTAATTTAAATTTGCAAATAAAGTCAAATCCCAGGTTAAAATAAAATCAGTTCTTTATTTTTTAAAAATTTCTATTCAATCATTCATGTACATTGTGTTTCACTTCTGTACGTTGTGTTTTGTACAATTATTTACTATTGTTTTATCAATGCCTTGTATCACCCCATCTCATCAAGTAACCATGGCATTTTGCCCATTCCTTTATTCCACCCCCATCTGCCCACTAATCTCTGTTGCCCTAGAGTTTTTACCCACTCCCCTTCTTCTGCTGCCCTTCCCTCCTCTCCTTTTGAACTCCTGTCTATATCCTGATCTTATATACTATTTGCAATAGCCACGCCGGCCTTTCATCCATTCTTCCCAGCTGATCCTCCCTCCGCAGATGCTTTACTGTGTTGCCCATGCTATTTCTCCTCTCCCCGTCCCCCGCCCTCCCTCACACCCCCCTGTTTTCACAGTAGCAACCTTGCGCAACATGTGCGCACCTGTAAGTCAAACATGTAGGTACATCGGAACAGGTGTATACAGTTCTTACCTGACCTTACTTCACGCACTGCACTCGCGCGAGTCAGTTCTGACAAATGTAGGCCCTCCGCTGAGGTGCCAAGGCTGGAGAGCTTTAGGGAGAAGACGGATGATCTGTCTTGGAGTCAGCTGGCTGCCTCTAATCACAGTTGTGTGATAATTTCAGTTAGCAACCCAACATGTAACAAACGACACCAGTAAGAGCTCCTTCAATGCCATGAAATCCACGAGGGGGAAAAGTATTTAAAACAAAATGTCAGCCTTGGCTCTGTTCCACAGACAGCACATTAATGAGGCTGGCTGCCTGCAGCGAGCACAAGCCCAGTTTTCATGGCTGTACTTGTGTCTGTAGTTCTCTTGTGAGGAATTTCTTTTTTGCCTCTTGAGGCTGTAAAGATGTTTCAAGAAAAGAAAGAGTACACATTCTTCTGACCATCATGCTCCTCTCTCCTGGAGAGTCATACATTTCTTATTGGAAATTGAAAAAAAGAAAAGGAGGCCTAGTGGACCTAGAAGCAGGAGGGGGTCCAAGGGCTGGGTGGCTGACCAAGTTCACCTTTCACATCTACCAGCCTCCCCGCAGGAAAAAAGAGGTGTCTGTCTGTCTCCACAAACATCTGGAGCCACGGAACCCCTGCGGGGCGGTTCTGCTCTGTCCTCTCTGGTGCCTCTAACTAACAAACCAAACCACTTGCCATCACATTGACGCTGAGTTACGGAAACCTTGTGAATTGCATTGTAGAACGGTTGAGCTCTCTGGGCTGTAATCTTCACAGAAGTAGATCGCCAGGCCTTTCTTCCACGCGGCTGCTGGGTGGGTTCAGAACGCCAAGCCAACCTTCAGGTTAGTGGTTAAGAGAAAACAGTTGGTGTCACCCAAGACCTCTTCATTCATCCTGAATGGGGATTTATAGAAGTCTAGAGAAGATGTGTCTCGAGAAGATGTGAGAAAAAAATGCAACATCACTCTTTCAGCACCAAGAAGATACACCCGTGGATGAATGTCTATAATATTCTTTCATGCAGGCGAGGGAGACCCCAGATGAGATGGATTGATACAGTAACTGAGGGTTGGTGTGTCAGAATTAGTGAGACTGGCTCAGGACAGAAGAGGGTTCAGAGTACACGGGGTCGCTATACATAGCAAACGACTCAAACAATAACATTCTATGACCAGTTTGGAAGCAGGAGTGGCATCCACTTCCCAAACATGCATCCGGAAACTCTATGAACTTTGATAAATGTTGATAGTTGTAGAGGGGCTTCAGGCCTTTTGTTCATAGGGTCACTATGAGTCAAGCTTGACTCAAAGGCAATCAACATCAACAGTAAGATTTCTCATTTGCCTAACCTCACCCCATGGCTGTGTCAATATACTAAGACAGGCCTACAGGTTTACAGAAGACAGTGGGTAAAGATTACTTCTGGGGAGCAAACATTCAGGACTACCTGTTCAGAAGAGCAATTAGTTGGCAAAGGTAAGGGGAAATCATTTCTGTGGTTCTGACATCAGGAATATTGAGAATTAAGAGTAACCAAAATGATTTCTGTTATTCCTTAAGGGCGTGACCATGGAGGTGTCACATGGCCTGAGACGAGTCTAGAAACATCATGATAATATTTCCGCCATCACCTTTCTCCTTTATTACCATTCTTTGATGGAACAGAACAGACTACTCTCTTTTCGATGCTGAGAACAAAATGTTTTTAAAGTTGCATTTAAAAGCAAAATAAAAGATCATTTGTTTGAGCTCTTCCATTGAATGAGAGCAATAACAAATTGGATTTGCTCATTTCTGAATTCCCAAAGTGGTCTAGAGATAAGGGCTGACTTCTCACTTTTACACTACACCAAGAAGTAAACTATTAGCTGGCGGTCTTCTCTCCTCCAAGGTCTCTGGTTAATTAGAGAGCTTTCCACAGCTGCAGGAAGTCAACAATTTAATAAGGAACATTACAAAGACTTAATCTATCCAGGAAGACCATAACAGTGAATTCCCTCATCAACAGAAAGATGAACAAAATGTTTACTGATTCAAGAAACATGAATTAAAACAGATGCTAGCTAGCTTCCTCCTTAAAAAAAAAAATTGGTGTTGAGCAACTGCTTCTCTTGGTTCCATATCATTGTAGACAGGTATCAAGCCCCAGTGGACATTAATTTCTTGGGAGTTTGAGAAAATGTTTAACTGTGACTTATGTCTAAATCTAACAAGGAAGTCACAATATTCTACAATTCTCCTTTTTCAAAGCAAGTATATTAGTCATGATCCAAATTGCAAATGAAGCTGGGTTCAAATGTCCACAGAAAGTATTGATTGTGGATCTTACGAGTGGCAGGCATTCCTTTTCTTTTGGGAGGGTTTGTTGTTGTTGTTTTTCTACTAGTTTATTTACAAAATTCGAATACATTGTTTTCTAAATCAGATTCTTTCAATTTCCCTCACCCCCCACCCATCAAATTATATAACCCCATGATTAATCCCCCCTCCCCCTGCACATCCACATCCCTCTGTTTGCACCCTCTCCCACCCCTCCTGCATCCTTATACTCATTCTACAATAATGATTTTATATCATATTTATCCTGTGGGATTCAGTTCTCTCAGCATAAGGCTCTCCAGTCCCTCCCAAGTTAAGTAATAATTTACAAAATTATTGCTCCTGCATGCTGCATAGTATTCCATTGTGTGAATGTATCATAATTTTTCAATCCATTCATTTGTGGTTGGACATCTGGGCTGTTTCCATGTTCTTGCGATGGTGAATAATGCAGCTATGAACAATGGTGTACAAATCTCCTTTTGTGCCTCAGTTCTCATTTTCTGACTGTATATTAAGGGTATATGAGTCGCCTGTGACTCGATGACCCTTAACACCACCAACAACAACAACAGCAGAGAGAGGGGGAGAGCAGTTGGCCTAGCAGACAGAAAGCCATGCTCCCAAGCCAAAGGTAGTGACTCTACTCCGCGTCCCTCAGGCCTGCCTTTAATTGTTTTTGGAGAAACATTCTTCTAGAACGTGTAACCCTGGTCTGTCCACTTGCTGTACAGAGGTAATGCATGGTTGCTGTGAAGTCAAACACTGTGACACTGATGAGTCAAATGTGATAATAGTTACCCATGGTGGACAGTGTTTGGTTGAGCTCTCCAATTAAAACAAGCTTAGAAGCAGGAGTGGAGTCCACTTCCACAATATCTTGCCTCGGGAAACCCTATGAACCTGGAGAATGGAAGAAAGTTATACAGGAGGTGTCCAGGACTTTCGTTCATAGGGTCTCTATGAGTCGCCTGCGGCTCAACGGCACTTAACAAAAACAACAACATATTTCAAGTAGTGGAATAGCTGGACCACCACATGGAATTTCTATGTTCAGCTTTCAGAGGAAACACCAAACTGCCTTCCAGAGTGGTCGTGCCATTTTACAATCCCACCAAGTGTAAGAGTTCCTCCTTTCTCACCACATCCCCTCTAACATTTATTACTTGCTGCCCTGTTAAGTTTTGCCACTGTTACAGGTATGAGATGGAAACTCATTGTGGTTTTGATTTGTATCTCTCTTATTGCCAATGATTTGGAGCAGAATACTCCTGGGCCTACACACACACACACACACACACACACACACACACGACTGATAACCCAATTACAAAATGGGCAAAAGACACGGAAAGAATTTTCACAGAGGAAGATATTCGAATGGCAAACATGCATTCCTTTTGAAGCAAAGTATCAGGTGATATTAGCAAGAAAAAAAACAGAGAAAATAAGCTAATGAAAAATTATGTACTACTTTAGATGAGGGACTGAATAATTTAGAAGCGATGTATGATAGGGCATTATGGTTATCACAAGAGTCCACAATTAAAGTTGCATAGTGGAATGTACCTGGGGCGGTGGGAGGGGTGCGGGGGGATTGTGTACCAGGGAGGGAGTCTTTCTTTTACTTTTGAAAGAGAGAAGCGAACTGGGGGGCGGGGGGAGAGGGCTGGGCGGGTAGAGAAGTGCAGCAATGAATGAACGGAAATCCAAATTCTCTGTAATGTTCATTAAAATTATTAAAAAAATGAACATGAAGAATAAAAAAAGAAAAAATTATGTACTACTTTGTAGTTGTTGTTGTTGTTGTTGTTGTTGTTGTGCACCAGAGTCAGAACTGATCCATAGCTGAGCCTCCGGCAGGTTTTCAG